TGCTAGGTAGGTATTCTACCAGTTGAGCCATGCCCCTTGTCCCCTTTGAATTTTTTTTGGTTGATCATGAGGCTTGAACTCTGGGCCTAGATGCTGTCCCTCAGCTCTTCAGCTCAAGGCTAGTGCTCTACCACTTGAGCCACAGTGCCACTTCCAACTTTTTCTGCTTATGTGGTGCTGAGGAATTGAACCCAGGGTCTCAAGCATGCAAGGCAAGCACTCTACCATTGAGCCACCTTCCCAGCACCTCCCCCCGCATTGAATTTTTGAGTGTCTTGTTATGTAACCTAGACTGGCCTCCAATCACAATCCTCCTCTCAGCTTCCCAAATGTTGAGATTATAGGCATGTGCCACCATTCCCATTTGATAATCATTTCTAATTAGGAGGAATTACATTGAAGAATCTGGAACATGATTCTTTGATGTCTCCTGCATCTCTTTTCTTTCCTATCCTTTATTCCCTCTTAGCTGTCCAGGTAACTACCCCATCATCCTTGCCAAGTACGTTTTCCTCTAAGTGAAAGCCAGATGCTGAGCTCTCAAGTTTGGTCCATAGTTACAGCATCAGCTACACCTGGAACTTTATTGAAAATGTAGATTCTCTGGCTGGGTCCAGCATTATGTTTTAGAAAGCACTCCTGGTGATTCTCATGCTTGCTGTAGCTTGCTTGCTATAGCTGGTGAACTGCCATGACAAGGTAAGGTAAGGGAATAAGAAAGATCTCTAATAATGTGAGCTCAGTGTCTGGCTACATCTCTTCCTATTCAGTCTCTCCTTCCTCTTCTTCTCTTCCCTCTTCTTTCTTATCCTTATTTCTCCTTCCCACTCCATATCCCTCCACTCCCCGCCTCTTCTCTCCGCCTCCTCTCCTTAACATTAGTATTGAATTTTAAAGGATAAATTAATTATCCTTTGTCTGGTTTTTTTTTTTTGCCAGTCCTGGGGCTTGAACTCAGTGCCTGGGCACTGTCCTTGAGCTTCTTTTGCTCAAGACTAGCTCTCTACTACTTGAGCCACAGCATCACCTATGGCTTTTTCTGTTTGTATAGTACTAAAGAATCAAACTCAGGGCTTCATGCATGCTAGGCAAGCATTCTACCACCAAGCCCCATTCCCAGCCCAGTGTGCTAGTCTTGAGACAAAAAAGCTCTGGGAAGCTGGGCACTGATGGCTCACGCCTGTCATTTTAGCTACTCAAGAAGCTGAGATCTGCTGGGTGCCTGTGGCTCACACCTGTAATCCTAGCTACTCAGGAGCTGAGATCTGAGGATCGAGGTTCAAAGCCAGCCCGGGCAGGAGAGACCGTGAGACTCCTATCTCCAATAAACAACTAGAAAACTGGAAGTGGCGCTGTAGCTCAAGTGGTAGAGTGCTCACCTTGAGCTGAAGAGCTGAGGGACAGCGCCCATGACTGACAAAAAAAAGAAGCTGAGATCTGCCATGCGCCAGAGTCTCATGACTATAATCCTAGCTATTCAGGAGGCTGAGATCTGAGGATTGAGATTCAAAGCCAGCCTAGTCAGGAAATTCCATAAGACTCTTATCTCCAATGAAACACCAGAAAACCGGAAGTGGCACTGTGGCTCAAGTGGTAGAGTGCTCACCTTGAGCTGAAGAACTCAGGGATAGCTCCCAGGCTCTGAGTTCAAGCCCTAGGATCAGCAAGAAAGAAAGGGGGAAAAGGAGAGATGCAAAGAGATTATAAGCATACTGCCCAGTGATCTCTGTAATGGACCTACCAAATTATCATATACCTTCCACATCCCCTTCCTTAAAGCAGCAGTGCAATTCTAGGTTACTAACTGTTGGAGAAGATTTTTGCCTTCTCTTTTTCATTGTCATTTGCATGTCTGTCTGAGATCAGTGCTATAACCAGGAGCTGTTGTGAAACTGGGTGGAGTTAGATAAATAGAGCAAAATTTAGGAAATGGTCAATGACGAAATCATCATAAAACAATACAGTCAACTTTGCAGTGGTCTAGAATTGCAGCTGACAAAATGCTTTTGGCCCTACCAACCAGCTTCTCATGAGTTTTGAGCTAAAATTTCTAGAAGGAAACCACATTTGCACTCTTCTCCACACCTCTTATTTCCATAACCAGTTAATTGCTTTTTTTCATATTGGTGGTTAGCTTTGAGGGTTATTTTCAGCTTCTGTATTTGACCAAAATGTATGTTAACACAAGAGATATATCTGAGTAATCACTGTACATTTATGGAACATTAAGTGTAGATAAAATGCTAACTGTAAAACTGACTTAATGGCTAGGAATGTGGCTTAGGGATAGAGTGCTTGCCTAGCATGCGTTATGCCCTGTGTTCAATTCCTCAGTACCACTTAAACAGAAAAAGCTGGAAGTGGTGCTGCAGCTCAAGTGGTATAGTACTAGCTTTAAGCAAAAGAAGTTCAGGCCCCTGAATTTAGGCCTCGGGACTAGCCCCCCAAAAAAAGAAAAAAGAAAAAAAAGCTGACTTAAAAGTCCAGAGACGGGCTGGGAAGGTGGCTCCGTGGTAGAGTGCTTGCCTTGCATGCATGCTGCCCTGGGTTCAATTCCTCAGCACCATATAACCAGAAAAAGCCAGAAGTGGTGCTATGGTTCAAGTGGTAGTATGCTAGCCTTGAGCAGAAGAGCTGAGGGACAGCGCCCAGGCCCAGAGTTCAAGCCCCACAACCAACAACAACAACCCAAAAAAAAAAAAAAAAGTCCATAGAGTCCCATTGCATTCTTTATTTTCATGCCTTACTAGTTTTGATTACTTTCTTTCCCTGTGTTTGATGATTAGACTCTTAATTGTTCATTTCTTTTTAGCTTTTCTGAGGGTTGTGCCAACCTCAAGGCTAGAAAAACAAGATGAATTCATTTCTGAAGCCTCCTCAATTCCTGGATTCCATATCCCCATATCGTGTTGATCCAGAGAAGTAGGAAGAGATTGTCATATTTTTGGCAAAGGGCTTGGGACCCTGTGTCAGGAGCATACGGTCCCAGTACTCACTGGATAAATCTAGCCATACAGGCTAGATAGAGCAGATGGTGGGTTGGGAGTTGAGCAGCAGAGAGGCCTAATGGTGATAGCAATGAGTATTTGGATGTCATTATTTTATTAGTTAGCAAACAGAGCCATCCTTGTAGTCCCTCCTCGGTTTTATGTGTAATGGTACTGTAGGTGTCAGCCCCTGAGAATTGGCACAACCTAATCAATGTGTCTGTATCATTTTTTATCGACTCTGTCATCTCTGTAGCTTCATTAGCAACATGTAGGGAAAGGGGAACAAGCATAGAGCTTTACAGATTACTCTGAGTTCCTGGCCCTATAAATACTGAAAAGGCAATTCTTGTTTTCCTGGGACTGAAATCCTAGGGAAACCTGCCCTTGACTTCTCAGTCATGTATGGCTTAGGGAAATAGTAGCCTGAATCTAGTCATGGCAGCTTAGCTTGGCTTTTTTTTTTTTTAACCGCCATAATAGTGGACTTCTTCAAATATAAGAATGAATAGAAAGTTGCTTTGCATGCCATAGATCAAAATGAGACAAAAGAGAAAGGGTGCTTGGCCTGTTTAAATGTGTTATATTCTGTTTGTGCCCTAATGTGGGCCTTCTTGTTCCAGCCTCACTTTAAGAACAAACCACTTTGTCTCTGCAGAACATCACACAATTGGACTTTGAGGAGGGGGTCAATGAAATCCAAAACCAGCCCACTATAGTCTTACTGCTGGCTAATATCTCCTTATTTCTGTCACATGTAGTATAGTGGATAGATTCTCCTCCTGAACAGACATGCCTCTAGTCCCCCCTCCATTCCAGCTACTTCAGCAGCTTAGCCTGTTACTCACTGACTCTGGACTTTATTCTCAGACAAGGGCTACCTGGGAACATTGGATTACAATGTGGAAAAAGCATACAGCATCATGAAAAAGATCAAAAGACCCCAGCTGTCCAACCAGGGCAGGATCTTTCCTGTTTATCCTCTCTTTATGGAGTTAGATATTAGTATTCACAAAGAGAAAGTGAAATTCAAATTTCTAAAGTGACTTCTCTGATCACATAGCAGGTGTTGAGTAGGATTCCTGGTCTAGGAAAGCTGTACCTGAACACATACATACCCCCCTTTTTTACTCAGTGGGATTGTTCCATCATTTTATTTTGATCTTTTGGTCAATAACAGCTGTTAAATGACCCTCCAGGAAAATTTGTAGTAATGTTCTGTCTAAGCTCTCAAATGATGTCTCCTAAGTGTGAACTGAAATCCAGCTGGTGGTGTGGAGGTGTGGACTGCCCTGTCCCCATCTCTACTAATGTAGTAGAAGAGCCATCTACTGCCTGTTTCCTGATCCCTGACATTTTAGTTTGAATGACAAGGCATCCTATAGCATTTCTAGACAGGGTCCACACTCTTAAAAAGGCCACAAAATTTCTCTTTTTTTTTTTGTTGGTCGTGGGGCTTGAACTCTGAGCCTGGGCGCTGTCCCTCAGCTCTTCAGCTCAAGGCGAGCGCTCTACCACTTGAGCTACAGCGCCACTTCCAGTTTTCTGGTGGTTTATTGGAGATAGGA